CCGCCGCCCCTGCGACCGCCTTCGGCAGCTTTGGCTTCTTAACTTCCGCCTTCGCTCCTGCCAGCTCCACGCCGCGTAGTCCTCGTGCTTCACATCTCATCTGCCACGCCGCTGTCGCTTCTTCCCCGTCCGGTGGCGACCGTCCTTTTCCCCGAATCTCGTCCGGAGCGTTTTACCACGTATCGGGCCACCACCACCTCCACCTCTTAGGCCACCTCGTCATTTAACACACCGTTTCGCTGAAACGTTCGATCGTTTACAGTCACGATCCCCCAACTCGAGTCGTGTGCCGGCTCCTTTCGAACCGACTGTTAACCGGGCCACTCTGTCACTTACGTCTCTGTACTGTATATATGTATAGCGTGTATACGTTTACGTGTATCTAGTTTACGTTGAGACGTAGTCTGTATGTATATATATATATATATATGTACGTGTATGGAACCACCGAGTAGAACTCGAGTCGAAAAGATTTTCTGAATTCCGAAATTTTGTTTATATGTCTTTCACGTAACGTCCCATCTGCCTCTGTGCGTAAGACGTAAAATTCGGTTACGGGGCGGCCCGTTCCACGTCCAACCTGAGCTCTGCGCCGAGAATCGGTGTCACGCGACTATAAGGACGCGCGGAGACGGTGCCACGCGAGATCGCACGCGATTAATATCGGTTGCATTTTCGCGAGAAAGTTTCACGTACACGTCGTTGTGACGCGACACACCGCCTGTCAAGATCCATCGGAACGACCGCCTTTGTATTTTACCGACTTCCTCGCGATTGAAAATTTTACGATCGTCTCTTTTTTTCCTTTCTTTTTTCTTGCTTAATTTCCTGTCATATAGAATGGAATTAGAACGATTCGAAATAATTGACACTCGTGTCAGGTTCTAAGACAACTGGCTTACGATAAAGGGACACTGTCCTTTCTCGTTCTCGATGGAATATTAACGATCCGCGTGGAATCCGTGTGTCCGGTGAAACTTCACGTCCGATAAACGCGACTCTCGAGAGAAACTGTAATGCCGAAAGAGGCACGCGACGAGAGCGAGAGACAGGATCAGTGCGAGAGTAGCGGATCACGTGTCCGGTGAAGGAAACTCACTGAACATCACACCATCCACGAGGAAAAGCACGGCGCAACAACGAGGGGAAAAGAGCGTTTGGCGGAAGCCGAGAAATCGATTCGAAACACCTGTAGAAGAAGCGACGTGTTTCTGTTCCGTTTCGTTCCGGCGTGTGGTCCCCAGCCTGGAACAGCAGAGTGTCCTGTCCTGTGCACCACCAGCGGCTTGCTTTCTCGGACTCCGTCTCTCTGTCTATGTTCTTTCCTCTTTTTATTTCAAAAGACACGCGTCTTCCGCTTCCGAACTGAAAATCGTCTCATGATCACGTCACTCGATGATTCACCACCCGCGTACTAACATCATCCTCTCATTTCTGTCCCTTCGTCTTTTCCTCCTTATTTTTCTTTATTTTTTCCCCGTTCCTGCGACCTTGACGAATCGTGAAAGTTGGCGGAACACGTGGACACGATAAGCGACGAAGAACAGCGGCGAGGCGCGAAAACGCGGTCACCCTGGGGTCTCTTTGGCG